TACAGTGTATGAGAAGCTGGATATGAGTCAACAGTGTGCCCTTGTAGCCAGGAAGGCTAATGGCATATTAGGTTGCATTAAGAGGAGCATTGCCAGCAGATCCAGAGATGTCATTATTCCCCTTTATTCGGCTCTGGTGAGGCCACATCTGGAGTATTGTGTCCAGTTCTGGGCCCCCCACTACAAAAAGGATGTGGACGCATTGGAGAGGGTCCAGCAGAGGGCAACCAAAATGATTAGGGGCCTGGAGCATATGACTTATGAGGAGAGGCTGAGGGAATTGGATCTGTTTAGTCTGCAGAAGCGAAGAGTGAGGGGGGATTTGATAGCAGCCTTCAACTTCCTGAAGGGAGGTTCCAAAGAGGATGGAGAGAGGCTGTTCTCAGTAGTGACAGATGGCAGAACAAGGAGCAATGGTCTCAACTTGTGGTGGGAGAGGTCCAGGTTGGATATTAGGAAAAACTATTTCACTAGGAAGGTGGTGAAGCACTGGAATGGGTTACCTAGGGAAGTAGTGGAGTCTCCATCTCTGGAGGTGTTTAAGTCTCAGCTTGACAAAGCCCTGGACGGGTTGATTTAGTTGGGATTGGTCCTGCCTAGAGCAGGGGGCTGGACTTGATGACTTTCTGAGGTCTCTTCCAGCTCTATGCTTCTATGATTTAAATAATCGCCACTTAATTTACATCAAAATGGCCACCATGCTGTGCCAATTAGCTAAATGATGGCACAGCGTGGTAGTCTAGATGGGGATCTGCCAACCTCAGAACCCTTTGTTGTCAGATCCTTTATGCCTCGTGAAACGTTTTGATGTAAATGAAGAGGTGATTATTTAAATCACCACTTCATTTCCCTTTGCCGAGTAAACTCATCTACATGGCTCCGTCGATGGAGCCATGTAGTCTAGACACACCCAATGAATGGGAATGAGAACATTGCAAGCCCCTCATTGTAGACTGGTGTAAATACACAGAATATTCTGTATTGGTCCACAGTGGGGATTGACCACTGGAAGAATTCATAGAACAATACTCCCATAACTCGGTGGACCTTGCAACAGTTTTCTCCTGCCACTGGCTGCTTGTGATCTGTCACTATTTCTCATGACAGAAATACCTTGTAGCATAAGTCTTAACTGCTTTATCTACATCTTTTTATTCTTCAAATTCACACTACAATTCTTTCCCACAAAGATGTACGGTTCAAAAAGCCCAAATTGTAACACATAGAACTTTAAGAAATTGTCGTGCACTTTCTTTCTCTTCTTCCCAAAATCCCCTTGGCTTTTATTAAAGCAAAAAGCTTCCTAACTGATTCCTCTGGTGTTGTCACAACCTCATGTAATTCACTGAGAGTGACAACCAGTGTGCCTGTAGAAAATCAGAATGGGCACTATCTATGTGGGTGAAATGACTGGATATGTGGGGTTTTTTTTGGGGGGGGTAGAAAAATCTACGAGAGGCATTGGGCTACAGTGCATTCTCTTTGTACCTGTTGCTCATGCCTTTTAGTTGGCCTAGCAGTTGCAGCCCTTTCATGCCACTTGCATGGTTAGTCATTGAGTCCATGGAATTATTGATACCCCGGTACAACAGTTTATAATAAAGTGGTTTGAAGACTTCCTCTGAAGTTTAATTATTCCACTATTAGGTAGCCATTCAGCTTAAGTGGTATGGCAGGCCTCATACCGTCCTTCAATCTGTAAAGTGCTGAGTGTTGTGAAAACTGGCAGATTAGGGTGCTCAGTATCTCACAGGATCAAAATGCAAATGATTAGATTCTCCAAAGAGCTGGGCTCCCATAAACCAATGGAGTTATTCACATGCTTAAAATTGGGCAGATTCTTGACTGCTTGAAATGGAGCCTTCAGTGTGTTTCCTATTTTATTCAGTGTTTCAAATATTGAATAGCTAACTACTTTGACCAAAAGAGAGGTATGTAACTATGTAAATAATAAACACTCCAACTCTTGCTTTGTGCTATTCAGCAAGTTTTGATTCATATTGGAACTTAAGTCTAGGATTTTCAAGCAGTATTTCATTTATTTTTCACCATGGGCTGCAATAATGAAATGCACAGCCATTTTCAGCACTCTGTTCAAAGGCGTTGCTGCTTAAAGCCTCTTGCTTCCACAAGCCATTTGCTGCAACAAATGGGAAAACCAAAAGAAATTTGCAAGATTTGCATCACATTAAGAGAAATGGATTGATGTGTTCCTGCATCTAATGATGACTGTAGGAAGAGACTAAAGTAGAGAGAGATTAGAAAATAAAGAGCAGCAGACTTAGAACGAAGTATAGAACATTCAAAAGATGTTGACGTACCTTTTGACTAGATAGTCCCAGTTGAGTCGCATCCAGTCCCAAGCCATGGTTTTACCATAGCTGTTATAGGAGATGTATTTCAGGACAGTGAACGCATCCTGACTTTTAATAAGACTAGTGTTGTAAATATACTTTAGATACCTAGGAGAAACCAGATGGGAAACAATTACACAGACTTGGAAATCTTTCCTTATAGCTTGTGAAAAGTGAGTTGTAAAGTAACTATTCAAGTATGTATTTTCCAAGACTGAGTATAAGAAATAGTGAAAGCCATCTTTATATTCTCATGTCTTTGCTTGTTTGCTGAGACCAGCCTAAACCATCTGGTGGGAACAGTTCATATTTGCAGAAATATTTGTAGTTTATTATGGAAAAATATAGCACTAGACACTTATTTTTTCCTAGAGCATTTTAAGGATGGTTACCTGTTAGGAATAAGATTTTCAAAATCACCATAGGCACATAGGTTTTAATGTTTTTTAAAGGAGCAAGACTCAAGGGATAACAATTGCATCTTACACATAAGTATGACCTTGCGTACACATCGGCTATGTCTATACTGCACCCGGTTTGTGCAAGAAATATGCAAACGAGGCATATCACCCCACTTCATTGCATAATTAACGAGGCTCCGTTTTTGCACAAGAGGCTTTTGCGCAAGAGCCATTCTTCCTAAAAAAAAATGTGGAAGAACGGCTCTTGCACAAGAGGGGGGTTTTGCGCAAAAAGAGTCTAATTAATTATGGAAATGAGGCACGGCGATTTTCCATGCTTCACCTCATTTGTATATTTTTTGCACAAAACGGGGGCAGTGTAGACATAGCCTACAGGTCTTAGGCCTCAGATCCTCAAAGATACTGAGGCACCTACTTCCTGTTGATTTCCGAGGTCATGTGAAAATTTTATCCTAAATATTCAAAGTGTGAATTACCTACTCTGCAGATTTTGTTGCGGTTTTGCTGTGTGTGTTTGAACAATCCGTGTTTTAGTCACAGAACTGATGACTATGTGGGGGTGAATTACAAAATAACCTTAAATGATACATACACCTGTGAAGTTATACACACTGTAAGCCTTGTTTTCTCATTTACCCCTCCTACTGATACCTTCTTCCCTACTCTTCTAGTGCTTCTTGTTGTTGTCTTTGGGGCAAGGACTGTCATTTTCTGTGCTAGCACATAGGGGCCCGGATCCCAGCTGGGACCTTGGAGAATAGTGCTTTGATGATGGTAGTAGTAACAATTAGTTCTATGCTTACAAGAGACAAAGGGCTATAAAAAACAGCACTTGAGCATATTATTTCAAGCAGGGAAGCAATGACTTTGTCTAGATACCAGAAGTATTGCCTCAGGGAGAACTATTTAAGAGTGACAGCATTTTACAAGCTTCTGTAGTCTATATCATATTTCATATATGACAAAAAGGAGAAGGAGCATTAATTCTACTAGAAAATAACACTCGGCATATTTTCAGCAACCTGTCCAGAAGCGTGATGTTCTTCACTGATGCCAGACCATAAAGCAACTTTTCTTTCTCTTGAGCTAATGGAGTGCTTTGATATTTCTGAAACATGTAGTTCCATGATGTCTCATTTCCAGAGTTCTGCATCCCATAGCGATAAACCAAGAGCCGGAGATTTACAGGTAGACTTTAAAAAAAAAAAAAAAAGATTATCACCTTTTTCCTTAGTGGCATTATATACCATACACAGTACTCTTAACTGAATGCAGAAACTGTAAATATTCACCTTGCTCCATTTAACCAGGAATAAAATAAGGTAGATGCATTGTTTAAAGCATCTGTGTCGTCCATACGGCATGCAAATTCTAAAACAGCTGCACGAAGAAGCCTTAAAACACAGGGAGAGAGAGAGATTTTTGTAGGTGTGCAACACTGAATCTCCATAGAATATTAATGTATGCCATAAATTCTTAACCTTGTCACATGGCTTCCAGTTTCATCATCATTCCAACCAAGCTTACTAGCAATGGGTTTAACCAAACTGCGAAAGTATGCCTGAAATAAAGAGGTTTTCTGATTATATTTAAGAGTTTCATGATGTGACAAGGTTTTCAGAGTCATAATTTGCCTTTTTAAATATTCCAACAATAGCTCTTAACTATACCTGGGGGGGAAATTCCTCAATAAAGTTAGCATGTCATGAAAGGATGGGAACATCATACTGCTCTTTGCTTTGCACTATTATGGTGTGCTGGACAAAACATTAAGATGTCCAACCATCCTTAAGCCTTGTATATACTATAACATAACCATAAACTAGCACAAACTCTGATATAATGCCAACTACAGTTTGTGCTTATTTGTACCGACCATAAAATATGTTCAGCCCCAGGGTCAGGTTTCATGATTGCCCACAATCTGATCAAGACATGGTTACGTTTCATGGTGCAGGTATGGCATGAGAAATTTTGCGGTGTTGAACAATCTTGCTTGTAATTCTCACAAGCCATCCGTAGGGGGGTGTGGGATCTGGGGCAACTCCTTGTCCCCTTGCCCCTCCCGTGAGCAATGTCGTCCAGGGGATTCTGGGGACCTGGGGTGGTGGCAGCAGGGTTCACCTCCCCACACCCACACTCAGCAGCTTGCTCCACCTCACTGCCCCACCTTATCCCGGCCCACTGCCCCTTGCTTCTCTACAGGTGAAGGGATCCAGAGCACTCTGGGCAAGATGCTCTGCTGCCCATTGTTGCTGCAAAGATGCATGCAGCGAGCCAGGAAAGGTCAGCAGGGTGGGGTGGAGTATGCTGCCGGGCCGCTCCAGCCCCTGATGCCTATGGTGAGTGTGGAGGAAGGCGACCCCTGCTGCCACCGTCAATCCATAATCACATAGTTCTTCCTGTCCGTAGGATGGTTGGGGTGCCTGTGGTGGGGCCCCCAAAAGTGTGAAGCTTGGCATGGCTGCCCTGATTTTTCCTATGGACAGGAAGGCTCTGAATATGCAGGACAAACCTAGTACAAAAAAAACTATGCTGTGAACAATCAAAATAGGTGGCAACCATAACTGGGAACACTGATTTTATTTCTAGTATATGGGCCTAGACTGTGGATCTGTATAAATGAGGTGTTTATATGAATCAGCTTGGAAAATATATGTTAAGAGTCTAATAAAAATATACACATTTTAATGTTGAAATTATGCATAAAATAGCTACAGCAACTTTAAAAATCACTCTGCTTTCACTACTGCCATTGTTATAACCCTGACATGGCTATAACTGAACACGTAAGAAGAATAGATTATAAGCAAGACTTTCATTGGCTGCATCACCTTAAACTTGGGGTAAAGCTCTGTATCATCTGTAAGCATCTCTCTGAGGTAAGATACAGCTGTTATAACACCGTTCCAAGGTAAATAGTCCTCTTCATTTTGTAAATATTTTGTTAGATTCAATGAAACAGAGTAATCCAGAAATTCAGCCCTGAGGAAGGAAGAGAGATAGTTGAAAGAAACGTACAAATCCTGCCTTGTTTGTAAATAGAACACAAGAAGTCTAATGCACCGTGCATTAATTGAGGCAGCCATGTTACATTCTTGTGGGGAGCTCCTTTCAGAACCAGTTCATTGTATGCAATTGAAAATCTTGCTTGCCTACTTTGGAAACTGTCTAGCTGTCTTAAAGAAGAGGGTGTATTGACCCTATCGTACAACCTATAGGAAGCAGAGGTACTCAACTCAGGACGATGTACCTCTCTAGAAGAAAATCTGTTCAAATCCAAGTTTTAGAAGTCAAATTAGAGATCAGCCTTCTATGTTTTTCATTTTCAGTGTCTTTTTACTATAGGTTTAATATCTTCTTCCCGCTCTCCTTCACTCAGTCCCTTTTCCTCTCGGTCCTCCAAATTACTCCTCCTTTCTTCCTCAGTTGTGTGCAAGACCCAGTCTACTTCTCCTCAAATAGGAAGAGAGAAGGACAGAATGGGCCCCCAAACAAGCAGTTGTCTTTTTTTCCCATCTTTGAACATGATCAGGAGAAAAAGTTTTCTTGTCTCCCTTCTCTTTTTCCCTTCACAACCACACTGACGGGGGACAGAGGTAGTCAGGGATTAGACAGAGCTAAGAAATTCTCTGTCTCCTTCGGGAAGGATCATGAGCAATGTCTTCCTCTCCTCTCCCTAAACAACTACAGGTGGGAACAGCTGTGGCTTTCTTATTCCTTTTTCCCAGTGGTAAGGTGCTATATTATGGAGCAGGCACTCAGGAGGATCCAGTGCAACCCTCTGGTCTAAAAATAGACTAGGCAAAGCGAGCACACCACCATTCAGTGCTCTTGAGAGAGCTTTCTTAAAGACTTTTATAAGTGTAAAAGAACCACACACTCCTAAATTATGGAAATTTAAAAATGATTTGTTTTGAATTTAGGAATTGACACATTCCATTTAGAAAATGTTGGAATGAATGGTTTCAATACTTTAGATTTTTTTTTTAACCAAACAAATCAGGCAAATACAACCCGAATTCACAAAATGCTTCAGTTCACCTGAATCTGTTTTTAACTCCCACAGAGGAAAAAAATTCAACAAGCTTTGATAACCAGATTGACTTCCATCTATCCTATTTCTGAGAAACCTCACTCTCACCCTATTACTTAGTGAAATGATCCAAGTCCGTATAAAAGTCTACTTCCATACACCTGCTTTTAATGTAGATGCCCAACCCCTCATTTGTGTGTATTGGAGATTTTGTACTATGATGAGAACTAAAAATCACACCCTTTTAATCACATGCATCTGACGAAGTGGGTCTTTGCCCACGAAAGCTTATGCTCCTACACTTCAGTTAGTCTATAAGGTGCCACAGGACTCCTCGTCGCTTTTGCAGATTCAGACTAACACGGCTACCCCTCTGATACTTGACCCTTTTAATTGTGTTGCAATTGTAGAATCATAGAATACTAGGACTGGAAGGGACCTCAAGAGGTCATCGAGTCCAGTCCCCTGCCCTCATGGCAGGACCAAGCACCGTCTAGACCATGTGTCTGTCCAACCTGCTCTTAAACATCACCAGGAATGGGGATTCCACAACCTCCCTGGGCAGTTGATTCCAGTGTTTCACCCCCCTGACAGGTGGGAAGTTTTCCCTAATGTCCAACCTAACCCTCCCCTGCTGCAGTTTAAGCCCATTGCTGCTTGTCCTTGTCCTCATCTTTGTTCCCCACGTGGGTAGTTCTAGATTGTAATCAGCTAGTGTTATTTAATCCACAGTGCAGTGATGAATGTGTCTTAGAGGCACTATGGATACGCAGCTCTTCTCTGCTTGTTTCAAAACATGCATATTACATCAGTGCCAAAAGTATTTAGCTAAGATTTCATTTATCCACTCATAGTAAAATGCAGGAAATCTGCTGATACTATGGAGTATGTGTTGGTAGAAGTTATTTCAGATAAATAAATGATTACAACAATACCTAATGCTAATGCTAGGAAAATCATTACAACAATACATAGTAACTCTCAAAGCACTTAAAGAGGGGTTAGTATCACTGAGACATAGAGCCGCTAAAGTGACTTGCTGAAGGTCAAGCATCAACCCAGTAGCAGAGGCAGGAATACAATTGACTTTCACATCTTTTTATGACACAAAAATAAACCCTGAAGCTCTAAACATGGGAAACCATTTTAATGTTGGGGGGAAATCTAATGAATTCAGTTGTATTGCTTTCATAACTGCCCACTTGTGGGAGTAAGGGATTCCTACTCTAGCCGTTAATTTTTGCATGCAGCAATGGGTATCTAGTGGTCTGATCATATGACTGAGAGTCAGAAAGACTAATTCCTTAAGAGCTGTGTATCTCAGTATTCTTATCTGCAAAATGGGGGTGTTAATCCTTACCCACTTTACAGCATTGTTGTGAAGATTAACTAATATTTGTAATGCAGCATATAAGTAACACAGAAAATGTGTTAATGTGAATCCCACAGAGGGAACAAAGTAGCTAATATGTAACTAATATGTCATGAAATCTTGTATGCTAGTGAATTTTTGTATTGTACATAGCATTGAACATGAAGGGTTTAATTTTAAGCATATTAGGCGTATAATTCAGGCACACACTTGCAGCAACTGTATATAATTCAGGCATGTGAGAACAAATCATTATAATTATTCTTTGCATGAATAACTGCCATAACAAATAAACTGGATGCAAAATTGTGCATATATTCTGTTTATGCAGTTGCATTCTTAATGGGTTTAGTAAGCAGGCCAAACCATCTTTATTTTTCCTGACTTTTTATAGAACTGTTATCAACAGTCCTTCTAGTTCTCACAGTGTTTATCTCATTAATACACAGCTACTCAACTGCACTCCCACAAGACCCCTTCACTTCATCCAAAGACAAAAGAAATTGCCTGTATTGTGTGATAACAGCAATTAAAGTGCTAAAGAGAACACTATAGCACCATGTAAAAGAGCTGAGATGATAAATTTGGGAAAAAGTTATGGAATATACACAGGAGGTACTTTACAAAGAAAGTTCTGAAGGATTATTGTGATTAGATGTCATGTACAAGAGCAGAACAGCTCTTGAAGGAGCGCTCATTATCATTCTAGAGCAATAAACTTTGTGTAGTTATCTGCTTTTGTTCACCCAATAAACCTTGAGAAGGTACACATAGTTGTGTTACCAATAAAGAAGCTATGTCTCATTAATGTTTCATGATTCAGAAAGAAATCTGGATTTTGGGATATTTATTGAGATATACACACAGAGGGGCAGATAGACCCTCTGTGACTCTCCTTAGGCATTTTGTTTCCCCCAGGAGCATGGCTTCATCTGGAACATTTCTGTCATTGCTTTGCCATCGACAGCAGGCTCAAAAAGCCAGCAGCTCTGAAGCCAGAGAAAGGAAATAAATCCTGCTTTCATTGAACTGAATGGCAAAACTCCCATTAACTTCAGTGATTCAAGATCAGACCCAAATGCTGGACAGAGAAGGCCAACCCTAACTGACATCAATAAGAGCTGTACATATGTTTAAGTTTGTTCCTTATGTAGGAAAACATGAGAAGAAAGATAAAGACTGATTTTTTTTCTTTTGGTATAATAAAAACATAATTCAAAATTTCTCATTCTTATCCAAACCAAGAGAATGCCAATATAATAAGCAGTAGGAGGACATGAAGGTTATATGAACATGTCTCTAATGCACTAATTTCGTTATAAAACCTACCTTGCCAAAGAAAACACATCATCCAACAGCCCAACACGATCGGTGGAAGAAAAAAACTACACAAGGGGAAAAAGAAAGAGAACAAGAATGATTTTTATATCTTGTAGAAAAAATAGTAATCACCAATAGACCCCAGAAACCAACAATCTTATAACCAAATCCAGTTAATTTCATCTGACTCACCTTGTGATTGTTAAGCAGATTCTTGGTTATGTCGTTCCAAATTTGTGTTTCATAATTTACACGATAAAATCCAATGTGGTTTGGATTTATTTTCAGTAAAGAAGCAGGATTCCCAGGTGTTACAGTAATTCCTGTGCCAGTAAGCAAATAGTAATGGAAAATTTACATACATATAAATAAATTGGGGGGGGGGAGGGGAAGGGCAGGAGGCAGGGTGAGGAAAGGCTCATCAGAAATATGCTCATTCCAGATGTCAGGTTTGATTTTTAACCCATATCCACAAAGGACCCAAAGTTTAATTCCAGCTTGGTTACTCTAAAATGGCAGAGAATAAAGATATTGATGCCAGCTGTTACCTTAGAATAGGAAATAACTGTGGTAAGGATGGAATCTGTCAGCAAACTTTCTTTATTAAATGGAGAATACTGTACTTAGAATAAGCAAACAGGAAATTAAGTGTTTATAATCAAAAGAATAATCACAAAGATTATTCCTATTAATATTTATTCCAAAAGCTTTTGTCAATTCTCAGTGCCACTGATCATGGCCAGACATGTATTTACCACCATCCAGATCCATCATCTTCCCTTAGGCTATGATTCAGGAAAGCGCATATTTAAATCCTATTGCTGTTAATTCAACAACACCTTTACAGATAAGCATATGTGTAGGTGCTTTTCTGAATAGAGATGGATTTACCTATGTCTTAAATTGAGGTGGGAAACCTACGGCCTGAGAGCCAGATGCGACCCCTGGCTTCCTTGGATCTGGTCCCCACACACTGGGGAGCCTGTACTGGTTCACCAGCCCCTCCCCCCCCATTTTCTCCCCCAGGGAGTGGGAGCAAACAAAATCAACTAGCCTGGGCCCGTCAGGGCTCTGGTGTGTGAGGGGAATGTGGGGTACGTTTTTCTCCTTCTCAGCTGGGGGCCACATGGGTGAGGTATTTTTGTTTGTTTGTTTTTACTTCTGATTTTGTGTGCAGCCTCCAACTGATTTTTCTGTAGCTCAGTGGCCCCCAACCCAAAAAAGGTTCCCCACCCTTGTCTAAAATGCTATCGTTAAAATTAAATAGACTTTTTTTTAATGTGCCCCAAATTCGTCTAAATTAGATGACTATATTATAATAGGCTGAGTGTCATACTGCGTAAATAAATAAGAATAGATTTTAATTAGTATAATACTACTTATGGGCAGGGCCTATTCTCATTCCGGGGAAAAATCTTAACTCTGTCATTCCCAAGCAGAGTGTTTCAAGCACTAAAGAGCATAAAAGAGAACTGCTTCTTTTTGTTCTTATTGTGGATATTTTTAAAGTTTTGCATGGTTGTCACATTGAGCCTACTATTATTAAATGAAACATCACTGAAGTTTACCTGCAGATCCTGACTTATTGTAGAATGCAACACCTGTTTCATTCCCAGCATGCCATTTCACTGGGATATTCCAAGTGTAACTGAAATTATTTTAAATGAAAAAAAAATGAATAACTTTTGAAAGAGAACCTAAAATAACACATTTAAAACATTTTTATCGGTTATCGTGAATAACCATACACCTATGGTGACTCATAAAGAATCTAGCTTCATTGTGCAAGGCACCTCATAAAGTTACTTCTTCATAGTCAATGTATAAATCTGTACATGCCCATACATCTATATCTGCATATCCACTAATGTATGACTAAACACCATAGCTGACAAATCTTGGTCTTTTACCAACAGCTTGATATTTAAATATAATTATATGAACTGTGTTAGGGCATCATCTCGGCAAAAAAAGTTTACAAAAATCTTGGATACAGGCAAGGTAAAATAGATACTTGCTAATTTTTATTGGACAAACCCTGCAGAATTAGGACAATATTCCATTTCTAAGTAAAATTAGAAGGTTTGAAGTATTTGATAGTTTTCCTCTTATAGAAAATAGCAGTAATTAATCTCTAAATCTCTGAAAGGTATGTGTCACACCTCTGGCAGTCTAAACACAGGAGTGGGAGCTATGGACTATCAAGTTCTAGTCCAAATTCTGTCACTGACTATGTGTGATGCAGTGCATTACACGTGTCATGAATGCCTTGATTTAGGAAGGCATTTAATCACATGCCTAACAGCCATATTAATAGTTGAATTGATCAAGCCATTTTTTCTGAAATTAATTGAAAGATTTCCATGCTTAAAGGTAGTATGTGTTAAGTTCTTCCCTGAATGGGGCCTTCCTGTCTCTGTGCCTCATTTTTCCCCATCTATAAAATGGGAATGATAATTACTAGGGCTGTCAATTGACCTACATTAATGCCTTCTATTAATGCAGGACAGGATTAACACGTTAATTTTTTTAATGCTTTAATTGCAGGCATTAATGCTGCACTGTTCCTTTGAAGTGCTGCAGTGGTACTTCAAAGGGGTTTTGCAATGTGGAGCCGGGGATGAACAGGGCACTCCAGCTGATCCCCAGATCCACTTGTGCTGTTCCTTTGAAGTGCCATTTTGGCGTTTTAAAGGAGCAGTGCATTAGGAGCCGGGGATCAGGTGGAGTGCCCAGCTGATCCCCGGCTCCGTGTTACAAAGCCCCTTTGAGGTGCTGCTCCAATGCTTCAAAGAGGCTTTGCAACAGTGGAGCTGGTGATCAGCTGGAGTCCCCAGCTGATCCCAGGCTCCTAATGTGCTGCCCTCGCTCGACAGCCCTGCTGTGCTTCCAAGGGGTAGTGCTGTATGGAGCCTGCGGTTAGCTGGGGACTCTAGCTGATCCAGGGCTCCATGCAGTCCTGCCCCGTTGAAACGTTACCGTGGTGTTTCAAAGAGGAGGCACGTGCGATTAATTGCGATTAAATTTTTTAATCGCTCGACAGCCCTAATAATTACTCAAGATCAGAAGGGTGTAAATATGTTCATTATAATTATATGCAGCCATTCTTCTGACTTTACTGCATCAAACTTAGGATGAAAGGGAAGGCAGCTTCATTTTAGCAAGTAAGAAAATGAAGGACGTGGTGTCTGTTTGTCACCTACCCAGAAAAGGTCAGTTCTAATTTTACATTTTTAAATAAAAACAGTAACAGATTCATAAGCTTCTAGCTTTTATTAGCTGTGTTTTGGAGAATTATTGTCATGGAGTATTAAAATACTATTGTTTGGCCAAAAGTCTGGCTGTTGCATTTCTCCAGGAGACAGCCAGTAAACGTTTTTAATACTTGTTTTGCAAATTCATTAAGTGAAGTATTTTACCTTCAGTGTTTTTATATGTTCCTGAGACCGTGTACATAAATACTTGTCTTGGGTATAAAGTGCAATGACCATGCTGTTAAGTATGGGTATTGAGGATATGTTCCAGACATACTATATAGAAATCCACATACTTATCTGGCAGCACTATTTAAAGAACATGAGTTCTTAAAGTTGTAATTTTCTTTTTGAGTGTTAATATCCAGGACAGGACTTTGTAAGGATAGGTGTGCTGTAGCCAGTCTTATTGTGAGGCACAACACCCCAGGAGTCTCTTCTTCCTGATCCATGCTGGCTGAAAGGAATACAGTTTCCCAAAGTAATTGGAATGATGAACCACAGCCACTGGGAGCTATGGGGACAGTGCCTGTGGGCAAACTATCTTGCAGCCTGCCAGCAGCTTACCCTGATGGGACACGTGACAGACACTTTGCACCATGTATCTGCAGCATCTCACTATTGGTCTACAGGACAGGCAAGTACAGTAAAACCTTACCCAAGTTCAGAGGGTGGTTCAGAAGGATTTGCTGAGGGGTCCAACAGAAAACGTTTCTGTGTGATCTTTGAATTGGCTTGCACACTCAATACAGGGTATCCCATCTGCCTAGTCCAGGTGTCCATCACTTCCTTCACTGGATTTCCACTTGCCTAAGAGTAATAGCAGATGGTTACTCTGAGGAAGCTAAAACAGACTGTAGAAGGAATAAAACTCTCATGATGAGTGGATGGGAGACCAGGAAGGGAACAAGTCTCCCTCACTAGTGTTAGAACTCTGTTCCTAACTATTGAGCAAATGACAGCAAGATTGAAGGAAAAAGAAAAGAACAAGAAGAAAAGTAAAGAACTGTCAGACATTTTAATTCCTCTTAAAACAAACTGGGTTAAACTAGGTCAGAATTCAGGCAGCAGGTATTGTGATTGACCGTGGCACATCCTGCTGGTCACCTCAGGAATTAGGTTCTCAGCCTTGGAGACCTGCTGCTGGCCAGTGCCTTACCTTTAGTTACCTGTCCTCTGCATGGCTCAGGTCCAGTGTCCCTTCCTGCCCCCAATGCCCTTTCTTCTCAATACTATCCTACAGCAAAGCCCCTGCACTCTAAGGTCCTCCCCTCCCTAGGTACTCCAGCCCCCTATATCCAGCTTACCTTGATGACCCATTGCTGGTCATCATCTAGCCCCTTCCTCCGGGGCAAACTGCAGTCGGAATTGGTCACTCATCATTACCAAGGGGGTGGACCTGTTGACTTCTGCTGCCCTAGTACCTTCAGGCCTTGTCTCAGGCCCTGGAGTATGTGTGTGTGTGGGTGGTGAGTGGGGAGGGAGTCATGCCTGAGCTCCACAGTTCTGCCTGCCTTTCCCCAGCACTGCTCTGTCTCCCAAAGCCTCCAGCTTCTATGACAGGCAGGTCCCTTCTGCGCCACAGCAGGAGCAAGAGTGTGCTCCCCACGTCTCTAGAAGCCCCTATTTATACAGTCATAGTTGGGCCCTAATTGAGGGCTATATGCCACAGCTGCTTGCTCCACAGCCCTAGTCCTCTCTGCGGACTGGATTTAACCCTTGATAGGGGCAGACATCCTGTCACAGAGGTGTAAAGAATATTCCCTGCCTTTGTGGCTTGCATCTCTCTGCACCTTTCAAGCTGAAATGATTTCCCTCCTCTGCTGCCTTCTGAGGAGAGTGTAGAGGACTAGTTGAGTCTCGAGCACTGTTGGCAATTTCTTTTGTAGCAAAATTCACAAACAATTGTCTGCAAACCAGTCTTTCCAAGTGCTCTGAAGAGAACTGAGTTGTTGGTTCCATCCTGAGCCCCCAGACAAGTTCAGGTAACTGCGAGTAAAAGGAAGGAGGAACAGAGAGCGAAAGAACTCCCTCTTCCCTGTCCACACATGACTTTTTCTGAAAGCTCTTTCGTAAAAAGGCTTCTTCCTCGTAAAAAGAGGTTTACCAATGTTGGAAAAAACACTCCGCTCTTTCATTTTTTTTTCAAAAGAACGCGATTGCAGAGTGGACGTAATTGAAGGTTTTTTGGAAAAACCATTGTTTTTCTGAAAAAAACTCTGTAGTGTAGACATACCCTAAGCTGGGAAGAGGTAGATATGTTGGAGGGCAGGGATAGGGTCCAGAGTGACTTAGACAAATTGGAGGATTGGGCCAAAAGAAATCTGATAAGGCTCAGCAAGGACAAATGCAGAGTCCTGCGCTTACGAGAGAAGAATCCCATTCACTGTTATATGCTGGGGACAACTTCCTGGGCATCAATTGTGCAGAAAACAACCTCGGGATTACAGTAAATGAGAAGCTGGATAAGAGTCAGCAGTGTGCCTGTGTTGCCAAGAGGGCTAACAGCATTAGGTTGCATTAATAAGAGCATTGCCAGCAGATTGGAGGAACTGATTATTCCCTTTTATTTAGCACTGACGAGGCACATCTGGAGTGCATCCATTTTTTAGCTCCTCCCCACTACAGAAAGTATGTGGACAAATTGGAGAGAGTGCAGTGGAGGGCAATGAAAATGATTCGGCCTAGGGTACATAACTTATGAGCAGAGGCTGAGGGAACTGGGCTTATTCAGTCTTCAGAAGAGAAGAATGAGAGGGTATTTAATAGCAGCCTTCAACTACTTTGGAATTGGGATGGAAGAATCCCAAGCATTGTTGCAGGCTGGGGACCAATTGGCTAAGCAGCAGTTCTGCAGGAAAGGACCTGGGAATTACAGTGGATGAGAAGCTGGATATGAGTCAACAGTGTGCCCTTGTAGCCAAGAAGGCTAATTGTGTATTAGGGTGCATTAGGAGGAGGATTGCAAGCAGATCTAGAGAAGTGATTATTCCCTTTTATTCAGCATTGGTGAGGCTGAAGCTGGAGTATTGTGTCCAGTTCTGGGCCCCCCACTACAGAAAGGATGTGGACCCATTGGAGAGAGTCCAGCAGAGGGCAACCAAAATGATTAGGGGGCTGGAGCACGTGACCTATGAGGAGAGGCACAGAATAAGAAACAATGGTCTCAAGTTGCAGTGGGGAAGATGTAGGCTGGATATTAGAAAAACTATTTCACACGGAGGGGGGTGAAGCATGGGGATGGGTTGTCTAGCTGAATCTCCATCCTTAGAGGTTTATGAGACAAGTCTTGACAAAGCCCTGTCAAGAATGATTTGGTTAAGGTTGATCCTCCTTTGAGCAGGGGTTGGACTAAACTAGATGATCTCCTGAGGTCTCTTCCAACCCTAATCTCCTGAGTTTTTATTATATAAATATTTGCCTAGTTTTACAACAGGCTACATAAAGGGGAAGGGGGCTGGACTTGATGACCTCCTGAGATCTCTTCAGTCCTATGATTCTATACCTGAAGGGTGGGTGTCAGAAAGACTATTGGGCCAGGCTATTTTCAGTGGTGGCAGATGACAGAATAAGAAACAATGGTCTCAAGTTGCAGTGGGGAAGATGTAGGCTGGATATTAGAAAAACTATTTCACACGGAGGGGGGTGAAGCATGGGGATGGGTTGTCTAGCTGAATCTCCATCCTTAGAGGTTTATGAGACAAGTCTTGACAAAGCCCTGTCAAGAATGATTTGGTTAAGGTTGATCCTCCTTTGAGCAGGGGTTGGACTAAACTAGATGATCTCCTGAGGTCTCTTCCAACCCTAATCTCCTGAGTTTTTATTATATAAATATTTGCCTAGTTTTACAACAGGCTACATAAAAAACACTAGGTGAATAGACAAAAAAGACCATCTTGACATGAGTAATTACGCATTTTTAAACATTTGAATTAATCTTTCATTTTATTTTAAAAAGTTGCATGTATTTTGGGAAAAACAAAAGAGCCATATTTGGTTCCATACTGAGCCATATTTGGCTCAAGAGCCATAGGTTGCTGACTCGTGGTTTAAAAGTTGAAAGCCACTGTCTTAGATACTGTTGTGATGTGTGCTATAGAAAACCCTACTGTAGAGAGAATCATAAATAAATGGGAGTGAACGAGAGTGTGTGTGTAGTTTATTAAGTGAGACGGATATGAGCAGATAGATAATTTGGAAGGGTTGAAGTTCCTTATGTATGTGAGTAAAGGCTTGCTTTGCTTTATCAATTCCCACTCGTTTGCTCCCAGTTAAAATTTACCCCCTAGCACTTTGTCCATGCAGAAAATGAGGCTCACAACATGAAAAAGCGGAGGAAACTCTGTTCTGTGGGCTAAGTACAGAATCTTTTAATAGCAGGAGTATTTGTTACAGAGCATACCTGTGCCAGGGATTCCCAGAAATCATCTGTCTTTGCATTCTGAAAATGGTATTTCTTTAGGTAGTTCTAGGAAAAGAGAAAAGGAAATGTTTCAAATATGTGCATGTCCTCCTCCTTCACCAGTCAAAACAATACACAAACTGTAATGTTCTCTATTGTACCAGGATACAGAATAGCTTCCTAAGGCTATGTTTACACTGCACAATTATTTCAGAATAAGCTATTCCGGAATAATTTTTCTGAAATAGCTTATTTTGAAATAGCACGTCTACATTGCAGGGAAGGTGCTAATGTAGAGGTGCTATCTTGATTTAGAGACCCAGGAGGAATAATTTAGAATGGTCCTGGTGAGGAGCTATTTTGAAATAGCAGAAGTGGAGCATCTACACGTGCCTTATTTTGAAATATCTATTTCAGAATAGGTGTTGTTCTTTGTGGAATGAAGTTTACGGAAGTCGGAATAAGCCATCAGTTTTTTCGAAATTATTTTGAAATAATGGAATTGCGGTGTAGATGCTCACATAGTTTTTTTGAAATTATTTTGAAATAATGGAATTGCTGTGTAGATGCTCACATAATTATTTTGGAATAAAGGCCATTATTCTGAAATAATTTTGCTGTGTAGGCACACCCTAAGAGTGATGTTATGCAGCAAAGGCTTTTCGAGGTATGCACATTTGTTTATTTCACTGCTGTTATGCAGCAAAGGCTTTTTGAGGTATGCACATTTGTTTATTTCACTGCTTTCTGAACAGAAAATAGAAACACTTTCCAAATTGTCTTGGGAGAGAAGGGAGTATTTTTGGCATAGGTTGGTGGCATTGTGATTAATTATTTAAAGGCTTTAGATGGCATCAGTAATGTCTTCTATTTTCGGAGAGGACCCCAAGTTCTCCAATTTTCTCTTTTGTGTTGGCATGTATCCCAACATCTTGGTAGGGTTAAAAAAAGGAGGGCTTTTTGTTTCTTTGTTTTTCCAGGACAAGGGCTTCTTAGTTAACACCATACATCTGGATTGACAGATGTACTCTGAGAAGGAGTTTCATTATAGTGACCTCAGGGCAAGCTTGGAGATGCCAACTGGGTGAATCAAGATTTGTAAAGCTTTCAGATAGATTTCCATAAATAGCATAGCACAGCTAAGTGGGCTGAGGTCTGCTATCTGGGTGACTAGGTTCTAGTTACTACTGATAAGAGGATAGGGATAGAGGAATTAAGGAGAAATCAGGAAGGTATTGTTATATATCATGCACCTATGGTCATCACTGGCTGGCCTTCAAACACACATACAACATTGCAGTCCAAATTCCAACTCATTTCAGTGAGTATGTATTTCCACCTATTGCCATTGCAAAAGGATCTAAACATCTATATCATTACCAAACTGTCCCATCATGCTGGGAATTCATGTGACCTAGCTTTTATTGGCTAAACAGCTTTTTCAGATATAGTTGAAAGAAATTAGTGAAAAAACACCCCCTGAAAAAATAAAATGTAGATTAATTGGAACAAATGTTAGTATAGAAATGTTTTAGGATTATATGTTTTAGTACAGACATTGTTACCTAAATTTCTTATGAGAACACCAAACCCGAGTGTATCACATTCACTTTTCTCAGAAAAGTCTTTCCCTTTGTTATGTGGGATTTGTTTTTGTTTCTGGCCTGTTTTACTGTTGTTCATACCTGACATCCTTTTTGAAAATTTGCTGGTGTAATCCAGTCTTCAAGCATTCTGAGAATTGATGCTCCCTATATACAAAAAGAAAGGGAATAGGGTTATTTCAGGCCTTTTTAAAACTAGATTCTCTCTTCTATCTGTCAATTATTTCTTCTATTTATTTCTCCTCTTCTATCTTTACAAGATTTCATTACAGTGAATATTCAATAGAACAAAAATAGAAGTAATTATGTGGATAAAATATAGTTCCTTATTTTTGCAGAGCATTGACTTTCACTCACACTCCTGCCATGATTTCAGGTCTGAGGCTTTGACTAAAAAGTCAGTAGCCTTTAAAATACTGTAAATCTGCAGTTTTACATTGTACCTTGACTCTAGATAAGGCTTAAATTATATTGGAATGCTGACCTGGCATACAAATACGGCCTCTGAAGCAGGTTTCTAGGCTCTGTGACACTTACTCCAAAAAAGGGAAATTGGTTGGCCAGAAGGAGATAAAGTGGGCCTTGGAAAGGAAGAAGATGGGAAATAACATCAAAGTAGAAGAGGAGAAATAAATCAAGAGAAGAAATAATAGAGAGATAGAAGAGAGAAAATGGGAGAGTCATAAAAAGGGAAATGAAAAGGAATAAAAACCAAACCCAACATACAACTTCGAAGTTAGTAAATATTATTTTCCTGGGAGAAAAATAGGATAGTTGAAAAAATGTGTTGAACTGTATTTTCTTTAACTCTCACTGTCCCATGAGATTAAGCACTTATGTCAGTCCTCAGTAAGCCTTGAATCCATTGTTTATATTACTAGGAATGACAGTTTGAACACACTAAAGTCACACCAAATTGGTTGTTAACATTGAGTAGTCATATACAATAATTAGGACTTGTCTACACTTAGACATAGTACATAGGAAGCCAGGGTTTGAATATACAGTGCAATAGCTAAACGCTGACTGGCCACGTGGACTGTTGTACCATGAGTTAAAATTTCCATAGTGTGCTTTGATGTAGAGTAGTGGTTACAAACAGCAATAGATAAGCCCCTGGTTTGGAGAGGTTCTTCCATTTTATTGTTGCACTTCTGAATCTGGCCAGCAGATGACTCTTTTCTAATGCAAAAGCAGCTTCATTTGTAGTAAAGATTGGAGACACTGACAAGCTTCAGAAGTGATTTTAATTATAAAGACTATAAGGCCACTTGTATAAACAACGTAGAACAGTGTTTCTCATCCTCACAAGCCTCCTCATTGCCTTTTGTAGTCCCCTTGAAGTTGTGACACAGTGGCATAGAAGTTACATAAATCGTTATTCTCTCATTTGAGCCAGATCAATTGGGAAGTTTTGGTGCCTTTTCCCACAGGGTTCAGAAATACAAAGACTCTTAAAACTACTTCAAAAAGAACTCATTTAAAATATTTCTTCTGAAAAAAATTAATCGGTATCAAATGTCATCTGAAGACATAATTGATTAAACTGTAAAATTAAACTGGGAGAGAAAATGGAGGGTAATAATTCAAGTGGGAATCTCAAAACAACTTTAACTGTGGAATCACTAAGAACAGTTTGATAATACGGTCCAACTGTCTTTTTCCCAATTTAATGAGACAAGAGGGTGAGGTAATATATTTTATTGGACCAACTTCTGTTGGTCAGAGAGACAAGCTTTTGAGCTTACACAGAGCTCTTCTTCTGGAGCCAGAGACATAATTCATTCTGCATCTGTGTATCCTCACTATGTGGATTTAACTCAGATTATTTTTATTGTCTGTAGGCAAATCTATGATCATCAGATTAGTTTGCTTCCTTTCAGGTATCCCTAAAAAATGTTAAGAAAACATCTTAGGAAAGCATATGGCAGTGGACAATGCACTACTTAGAATTCAATATCAATTTAATCAGACCACATAAATATGACCTGAAGAAGAGCTTTGTGTAAACTCAAGAGCTTTTGTATCTCACCAGTAGAAATTGATCCATGAAAAGGAATGACCTCATCCACTTTGTTTCATTGATACACTGGAACTTACATGGCCAGAATAACATTGCATTTTACCTAACTTGGCTTTTCTACCTATGTTGTTCCCTATCAATCAGATACTGACCCAGTACATCATTTAGAATGTGCTAACTCCATAGACCCTAAAAAATTCATTGTCTGTAGATTATATAAATATGTTTGTGTTGTGATGAAGTTGAATTTGAGTTCCAAATTGTGCATTGTCAACTATCATGCACTTGGTAAGATGTATTTTAAATATTAAAAAAAAACTATCTCCAGATCACTAGTCCCAAACATTGCATGTCTCTCCAAAGCAGTGGTTGATTTTAAAACATTCTGTTGTGTAGGAACTAAGTAAGCAAAAGAGGGAAGGTAAATTAAAGATGAAAACTTTCTATCCCATCAGGGTATTTTTAAAAGTTTGAGAAAACAAGAAAGTCTGTTACTCACTGCATGGGTGAAACTTTAGGTCCAGAGCAGTGTTCCCTCTAAACTGTGGGGGAGCACAGCTACCCAGGTGATTAATCAGCCCTGCCCTGTCGATCAGCTGCATGCACGGAACCCTGAGCTTGACTAGATGGGGCTGATTAATCACCTGTGAAGCTGTGCAGCCGCACAGCTTAGAGGGAACACTGGTCTAGAGTATCTGATTTTAGTCTACACACCTTGGCCTTTGTTGTTTTTACTCAGACCTTCAGGGCTACTAGAATGCAATTTACTTAATGTTTATGGTTGGCCACTGGACACTTAGGATGCAATGAATACTGGTTTGTAGTGTTGGGCACAAGCACTAATATTGAAAAATAGAAAAGAACTGTAAAGAATATAGGCTATTCAGTTCAGTTGTAGATTAGCTAGTAAAAAGAGATGCCTACTATTCAAAGATTTTGTTCTAGATAACGCTATGGCTAAAATCAGCGAAAGAAACATTTTTGCTTAGCATAAAAATGGAAGTCTTGAGAGAAGGAACAGATTGGATGTAACATTAGCAGACCCCACTTAGAATTTCTACATATTGGGTTCTGAAGGAAAAATACAAAAAAGCACAGACTGTGTATGGTTTATTCACTAAGGGTATGTCTACACTACAGCACTAATTCGAACTAACTTAATTCGAATTAGTTAATTTGAAATAAGCTAATTCGAATTAGTTTTTAGGTCTAGATGCACTAATTCGAATTAGCGTTTTGCTAATTCAAAATAGCATGTCCATATTGAGTGGACCCTGAACCAAAGTTAAGACAGTTCTCAGGGTTCCCCGCTTGCTTGTCTACCTCGATGAGGGACAGCAAAGCAGTCCTGTCTTGGAGTGCCCAGAGTGCCCACACTCGGCACATCACAGCACTCGGCCATCAGCCTGGCTGCACTTGTCGTAGGCTGCCATCCGGGGGGGGGGGGGTCAATCAGGGGGCTGTCAGGATCCAGGAGGCCCTGCAGGAGAACTTCCACCCTGAGGAGCCCGCAGAGCCACCCCAGTCCTCCCCATCGGGGGCTCATGCCCCATTCCTCCCTCACCTCCTTCCACTTACCCCTCCCTAGTCCCCCTTCCTGATGTAAAAAATAAAGGACACGTGTATTCAAAAATAGAAACTCTCTTTCGGGGGTGGGGGAATTAACCTCTGGGGAGACTGGGAAAAGGAGATGGGAGGGGGAAGAGAGAGGGTGGGAGAGGGGAGGTAGAAACCTGGGAGGAGGGAGCTGGAAGGGGGAAGCCAGG